AACAAAAACCAAAGCAGAGGCGATATAAAATAAAAACGAGGAAAATCGACAAATAAAATCACAAATCGCAAACAACTGAGACAGTGGCAGGAGACCCAAGTTAAGGTACAGTGGGTGACAGAGCCCATAATTTTCTAACTTTTTTTTAATTTTAATTTGGTTAGAATTTTAAAAAACTATCCGAAATAATTGGAAAAAACTTTTATTAAAAAGTATTTAAAATCTGTTGTTGGTTTTGAATTATACTCTTAAATAAACCATCTTTAAAATTGTAAAATTAATTAATAAATCTATTTAAAATCCATTTATTAATCAGAACGAATATTAAAGGAAACTATTTTTAATCCTCATACATCAATGTCCGTTATTGTAGATATATTACTTAATTTAAGATGTAATCTTATTTTAATCTTAATCTCTATTAATCCATATCCATTTTTGTGGATATTTTATTGGATATATAATTATAATTGGATATATTTATTTTATTTTTATGAACCCATTTTTGCTAACCCATTGTACCCACTGCATATCTGTATGTACGAATGCAACTTAAATTGACTTGCTGGGGAGCTGTATGCAGTACAGTTGACAAGATTGACTAACTAACGAGGCAGGTAAACCAGGTAAACTAACTGACTGCCAAACACCTTTGAGTGGAAACCAAAGGCGAAACGGAAAACAATTACGCCGCACTGAGTCATGCTTTCGGAAAATGTGGGAAAAAGGAGTCGGAAAAAAATGGGGAGGCGAAAGGCGGCTGCCACCACCCAAAAATCTCGAAAGTATTTTCACCTCATTCTGTGCACTTAAGCTCACACATGCACACGCAGAAAAATAATGTATTATTTTACATGTTTAATATTTAATCAAACTATTAATATCGGTATAGTCATTATAATAGGGTATTATCTTATTGTCGTTATACATATACAACAAATAAATATTCATTCATACTCATTTTTAATATCATTCACTCTAACATAACATTTCCATTCTTTTCATTGCGAATTTGACGAAATATATTTAGTTAATAATCAATAATATGGGGAGTGCCAATAAAATATCTATTAAATATGTGTTATAAATATGTCTGAAAGTAGTCAACTAAATATTTGTAATCCATAAGCTCGAATTTTAAAGCATACTTTTACACACAGTTTTAAGTAGTTAAGATTTCTTAGCAACCGGCATTACTTTTTATGTGCATAAAGTTAGCAATGCAACTTTTGAAAATGCAAATTTTTTTCTATCGACAATTTGCCGTTATTTATCCGTAAATTATTCGTAAAAGAAAAAAATTTGCCGCTCAATTATTTTTAAAATTATGAGATGTTCTGCTAAGTTGATATCAACTTAGCAGAACACCCCCACTAAAGTTCAAAATTTCCAAAATCTTTTTTAATGGGAATTTGCCGTTATTTTGCCGTAAATTATTCGTGAAAGATAAAATTTAGTTGCTCTTGTTTTAACATTTTTTTTTTAAAAAAACATAGTTGTTCTGCTAAGTTGATATCAACTTAGCAGAACACCCCCACTAAAGTTTAAAATTTCCAAAATCTTCTCTAATGGGAATTTGCCGTTATTTATCCGTAAATGATTCGCGAAAGAAAAAATTTTGTTGCTCTTGTTTTAACATTTTTTTTTTAAAACACATAGTTGTTCTGCTAAGTTGATATCAACTTAGCAGAACACCCCCACTAAAGTTCAAAATTTCCAAAATCTTTTCTAATGGGAATTTGCCGTTATTTATCCGTAAATGATTCGCGAAAGAAAAAATTTTGTTGCTCTTGTTTTAACATTTTTTTTTTAAACACATAGTTGTTCTGCTAAGTTGATATCAACTTAGCAGAACACCCCCACTAAAGTTTAAAATTTCCAAAATCTTTTCTAATGGGAATTTGCCGTTATTTATCCGTAAATGATTCGCGAAAGAAAAAATTTTGTTGCTCTTGTTTTAACATTTTTTTTTTAAAACACATAGTTGTTCTGCTAAGTTGATATCAACTTAGCAGAACACCCCCACTAAAGTTCAAAATTTCCAAAATCTTTTTTAATGGGAATTTGCCGTTATTTTGCCGTAAATTATACGTGAAAGAAAAAAATTTGTTGCTCTTGTTTTAACCTTTTTTTTAATAATAGTTGTTCTGCTAACATATGTATGTACAACGCGGACGGTAGCAGAGCTCTGCTGACGTCGACGTCAAATGTGTACAATTTCCGCGAATTCTGCTTCTGTGAGAAGCAACATCCATTTTTCATGTTTAAAATTTTTAACTTTTGATTATGTGTAATTCTGTAAATAATATTGACTCAGACTCACTGCAGAAATTAATAAACCTCCAGGACGCAGAATTCGCGGGAATTTTACACATTTGACGTCGACGTCAGCAGAGCTCTGCTACCGTCCGCGTTGTACATACATATGTTAGCAGAACAACTATTATTAAAAAAAAGGTTAAAACAAGAGCAACAAATTTTTTTCTTTCACGAATAATTTACGGCAAAATAACGGCAAATTCCCATTAAAAAAGATTTTGGAAATTTTGAACTTTAGTGGGGGTGTTCTGCTAAGTTGATATCAACTTAGCAGAACAACTATGTGTTTTAAAAAAAAATGTTAAAACAAGAGCAACAAAATTTTTTCTTTCGCGAATCATTTACGGATAAATAACGGCAAATTCCCATTAGAAAAGATTTTGGAAATTTTAAACTTTAGTGGGGTGTTCTGCTAAGTTGATATCAACTTAGCAGAACAACTATGTGTTTTAAAAAAAATGTTAAAACAAGAGCAACAAAATTTTTCTTTCGCGAATCATTTACGGATAAATAACGGCAAATTCCCATTAGAGAAGATTTTGGAAATTTTGAACTTTAGTGGGGTGTTCTGCTAAGTTGATATCAACTTAGCAGAACATCTCATAATTTTAAAAATAATTGAGCGGCAAATTTTTTTCTTTCACGAATAATTTACGGATAAATAACGGCAAATTGTCGATAGAAAAAAATTTGCATTTTCAAAAGTTGCATTGCTAACTTTATGCACATTTACTTTTTTATTGTAAAAGTGAATACAATTTGGAAATCTGTATAACATTATTAAAGCTGTCTCTAAATAGGTAGAAAATCATAAAATATTCGAAATTTCTTTCTGTGCACTCTCACTCACTGATACACACACACACATGCATAATCATCGCACATCGTCACCCACACAAACATTCGCACACAAGCTCAAACACTCGAAAAGTCAACTTTCAACTTGTTTGCCCAACTGCGACGAAGCGAACTAATAAATTTCTACTTTGTTTTTTTTTCTCTCTCTCCCATTGCCTCCTCCTCCAACTCGTTGGCCACCCAATCGACCAACCGCCCACCGCCACCCCCTCGATTAATTTTTTGCAGATTTCAAGACACGCAGACTGCAGACTTTTTTAAAACAGTGTGTGTGCGTGAAGAAGTGTGGTGGAATGGGAGGAAGGCAATGATGTAGACCGAGGATATAGAGAGATGATGATGGGGATAATGATGGTAATGATAATGAGCACCATGTGGCCGCCAACACAAACCAGCATCAGCAACAGAAGCAACAACAGCAACAACCAATATAAGAACAACAACAACAGGAGTTACAGATGAGAAAAGTTGCCGCGAAAGTACAGCAATGTGGAAAACTGTGAATTCGTCGAGCAGAAACTCCCAACGCAGAAAAACTAAACGCGCAAAAAGAAGAATTTTCATCAGGCCATAAAAGCGAGAACAAAGAGAAAAACTGTCGTAAAAAGAGGCAGCAGCAGCAGGGAAAAACCCACCACTTAATAGTGGCCCACAACAGCAGCAGAAGCAACAGCAACAACAACAACTGTAAGAATTTCAATTTCCAGCAAACAAAAAAAATATTCGAGAGAAAAAACAAAGGCAGCAGCAACAACAAAAGCCAAACGAGAAAATCCTGCAAAGAAAACAAAAAAAAAAGAAAAGAAAAAGTTCAAGTCTGAAGTACAAAAACCACTTAAAACGTCGATGACAACTAACCCGCGGGAGGGAGGTAGAAAGGTAGTTGCCGAGAGAGTGAGAGCGCATTTCTTAAAAAGGAGTCTGCGAGAGAGAGAGAGGGAGAGAGCGCGTGCTACGTGCCAAAGGACGAGTTTAAGGAGCCGCAACGCAGCAGTTGTTTTGGCTCAGAATTTTTTTTCTTTGTTTTTTCGTTAACTGCACACATTTAGTGGTGGCAAAGCGTGTAAAGGTGGTGGTATCCCAGTGCTGTCATCTAGGCCGCTTTCCCGCTATAAATAGCCAAGGAGCTAGGTTTTATCCTAATCCTTGTCCTGTTAAGAAATGTGTTGCATACTTCATGGCGTTTGAAAATCTTTTATTGAAAAAAAATTTAAAAATAACTTCCCTTAAATTAAAAAAAAAGAGTAGAAGATCCTGAACCTAAGTGTTTAATGAGCAAGAATCCCTTTTTATAATTTGATAAATTTCTTGAAATATTTTTACCAATTATATTAATCAATTATAAGTTGAGTTGCACCATGTTGCAATAAAATTCAAGTACCTAATAATCCCATTAATTTAAATAAAAAGCCAGTGCTGGCATCTCTGATTTGGGTGTGAGTGTATTAGTGGTCACGCAAGACGTGAGACAGCGGCAAGAGGAGCGGAACAAAGGCAGCTGCAATTGCACCTTTAGCGCTCCTTGCTCAGGAGCAGGAGAGGGCCAAGGCGAAAAAGAGAGTCGTGCTCCGAGAGAGTGCACTCATAAAAAAAATGTCTTTCAATTTAAATAAACGGGAAATAAATGTAAATAAATGTTTTATGGAACGTACTTATGCATTGCATTGAGAAAAACGTTGTTAGTAGTGAGGATATCTCTTGAAGAGTAATTTAAAATAAGAGAATTTCTAGATTATTTTTACAATTAGCCAATAATATTTAAAATATTTTTTTTTTTTAAATTTTTTTTTACCTTTTATGAATGATACTCTTTTGGTAAGGAAAATGAAAACACAACTTTTTTAAAACTAATATTAAATCTTCTTAAGAAAATCCAATGTCCTTTTCCCAATCGAAACCCCATTTTTTTGTTTAGAAAAAAATATTACTTTTCAAAACAAGAAATATGAAATGTCCTTTTTGCAATCGAAATACTTGATTTTTTCCAAGTGTAAGGAGCGACTGAGAGAGAGTTAGAGCGCGTTCGGGCGCAAGAGCGCCACAAAAGCCGAGGCTGTCGAGCGGCTACGTCACCTTCGGCTTTGTAGTTGTAATTCGCAAAGCAAGGAGCGCGCAACGAGAAACGCGCGCGAAAAGAAATAAATAAATAAATAGCCAAGGAGGGAAAAGGAGTGAGTGAGTGAGTGGGCAGTGAAGGGGGCGTGAGGCAGGAGTGCAAAATAAACGAGTTGCCACAGCAACAACAACGAGATTCGCAAAAAAAGGGGGAAAAATTGACGCATTCCAAACGCGCGATTCGGCTTACAAGCATGGTATTTTTTTTCTCCCGAGCTGTGCTGTTGTTGGTGCTTTTTGTTTTTGCCAGTTTTCCTTTAGCTAATACCGGTCTTTTTTAGTCGGCCTCTCTTACTTGACGTTACGTTTGTGCCTCTCTCTTATCCACAGTGAGCTATCCACAAGTCCAAGCAATCAAACAAATCGAAGAAGACCAAACATAAATCGAAAAGCAAAAAATAACAGGGGAAATCCAATCAAAAGGCAGGCAAATGCAAATGCAAAGGCAAACGCAAACGCACTACTATTATGGGCCGCTCCAAGTTTCCCGGCAAACCCTCCAAGTCGATCAACCGTAAGCGGATCAGTGTCCTGCAGCTGGAGGATGAGGCGGCCAATCCGGCCGAGACGCAGCAGCAGCCACCGCCGCCGGAATCCCAGCAGCCGAGTGGTTCCGGTTCCGGTTCGCCGGCTGCCCGGGAAAAGGGCAACAATTGTGATAACGATGAGGATGACAATGCGCCGGGTGGCGCCTCCATCGGTGGCAATACGGCATCCTCATCCGCCGCTGGCGCCTCGGGCTCCGAAAGTAGCGGCAATGGCAGCAGTTCGGGATCGGGATCATCAGGATCGGGATCCACCAACGGAGGTGGTGTAAATGGCGGCACCCATCACAAAAGTGCAGCCAATTTGGATAAGGAGGCTGTGGCAAAGGATCAAAATGTGGGAGAAAGTGATAGAACGAGAGGAAAATCAGGAGCACCTATTGAGACATTAACCTCGAGTGGAAAAACCTCCGGAAAGTCATCAGCCAGAACTTCCTCAACAGCCTTTTCGGGAACCTCTTCAGGAAGATCGTCTGGCTCATCACCAGAAGGCAATTCTGGTGCATCCTCCGATGGAGCATCTTCCGGAATATCCTGCGGAAAGTCCACCACAGCAAGGAGCTCGGATGTAACCACTGGAAAATCTGGAACATGCGCTTCTGGAAAACCATCTAAAGCAACTTCTGGAACAACATGTGAGGCAACGAGCTCTGGAAGCTCCCTGAAGGCCCTAACCGTGGCTACAACGGTCTCATCCACTGGATTAGCCTGTGCCCTGGTCTCCCCGGGTGCATCCTCGCCAGGAGGAGCCTTTGCTATAAGTGCCGCTTTGCTGAGAGCTCGCAAGAGCAGCAATAAGAAGTTCAAGAATCTGAACCTGGCCAGGGGCGAAATAATGCTGCCCTCCACATCCAAGCTGAAGCAGCTCAATAGTCCGGTGGTGGACAGTCCCTCCTCCTCCCCCACCACGCCCTCCGTCGCCCCTCCGCCTTCGTTGGAGGGGGGAGGAACGGGCGCGGTCAGTCCGGGTGAAGAATCTGCGGCCCTGGTAAGTTGATTTCCAGATTGTCGGTGTTTGGTTTGCCGGTTTTGTTCCCAGGTGTTGCCCCCTTTTGCTTTTATTTATGAATATGTTTAAGCCGCTTTTTTTTTTCAACCCGCCACCACCTTAACCACCTCCACCTCCCGCAATCCTTCAACCAAGTGATTCCGAGTTGCGTGTGCACCCTTTGCAGCACATACACACATCCTCCTCCTCCTCGTTCTCGGCCAATGCCACAGTCCAATTCCCGCCAATGTAAATAAGAGAACCCCCTCAAGTTGGTTTACCCATGGTTCTGGTCTGGTTAGTAGCCCCTCTTACCCCCTTACACCCCCTACCACCCAACCACCCGCCTCTGACGCCATTGTTACCTGCTCGCTTACCTGCTTAATTGGCTTTTATGACGTTTTAGCGCTTGCAACTCTTCCACATGTGTCTGCCGCAGACGGTTGACGGTCACAGTGGCAATGGTGTCTGTTCCCCCAGCTTATACTTATGCTTAGTAACTTGTTTTTGCACCAATACCCCACCCCTCTCAACCTTTCAGGCCTCTGTAACCCCCAGTGTCCAAGCGATCCCCTTCGAAAAGTTGCACTTGCTCCTGGTCCTTTGCATGCTTCTTTGTGCTTTACGTTTACACTGGAAGTAACAATTGACCTGCTATCAAAAGATTTTAAATTAAACAAATATATATATCCCTTCTCCGCTAAATGGTTTATTATAAAGATCTAATCAGGAATTAAAAAAATATAAACATAAAAAATTATCATATTTTAAGACAATTTTTTTTAAACCTTTCAGGCCGTTTTCCAGTCCGTTTGTTAAATTTAAAGTAAAATTAAAAAAATGATTTCACATACGATTTCAAGGTTTGAACCCTACTTTAAATTTAACAAACAGACGAGAAAGCAGCCCTTAAAATCCTAAATACTTATGAAATTTTAAATATGTGCCAAATGATTACTATTATTACTTACACCTTGCTTAACCTTAAACCTATTTAATTTAATTTCTTGCTGTGTAACTTTTGCTTGCTATATATTACTTGCATTGCTTTCCGCTTCGCATTTTGTGAGCGTGTAGTTAGTGGCATGAATTATTGATTTGCTCGGAACCCCGTTTCCCAACTTCATTTTCTCAACCCTAACCGAAACCTACTGAACCCTTTTATTTGTGTACTTTTACAGAAGCGCGTCTTGAGCGAAATGCCCAATGAAGTTGCCCCCGAGGCCCCTGCATCCAACTGCCCAGCGGCGGCAAATGGAGCGGCAACGGGAAAGGGATCTGCACCCAGTGCAAGTGCACCATCAGTGGCCACTTCTGCTGGAGGAGGCAGTAGTCCTAAATCTGGAACAGATGCAGGATCATCGACAGCGTCAACGGCAACGAAGCAAAAGAAGACGGTGACATTTAGGAATGTGCTGGAGACCAGCGATGATAAGTCGGTGGTCAAGCGGTTCTACAATCCCGATATCCGCACGCCAATCGTCTCGATTATGAAGAAGGATTCCCTCAACCGGCCGCTGAATTACTCCAGAGGAGGCGAATGCATCGTGCGACCCTCGATTTTGTCAAAGATACTCAACAAAAGCTCCAACATCGATAAGCTCAACTCGCTCAAGTTTCGATCGGCGCCAGCGAGCTCATCTTCCTCGAGCCAGGAATCGTTATCCACACCCAATGTATTTGGTTTATCCCGCGCTTTTGGCGCTCCCATGGATGAGGAGGATGAGGGTGGCGTAACCTTTCGTCGCAATGATTCTCCCGAAGATGATGAAGAAATGGATGAGGATGAGGACGACGACGAAGTCGATGAGGAAGAGGAGAATGAGGATGATGAAGCAGCCTCTGAAAAGAGTGCGGAGACAGAGAAGAGTGCGGGAGGCGAAGAGCGGGATTCAGAGGAGAAGCAACTGGTCATGGATTCGCACTTCGTGCTGCCCAAAAGGAGCACCCGCTCCTCAAGAATCATCAAGCCCAACAAGAGGTTGCTCGAAGAGGGTGGTATTAGCACCAAGAAGACCCTAGCAGGTGGTGACTCCAAGGCTAAGAACCTCTTTGGAGCAGCTTCCTCGAGTGCGGTCTCTTCGGCATCCACCTCCAACGCTCCTGCAAGTCTGAAGCTCGCCAAGGAGAGTTTCTCCAGCTTTGGCAGCCTAAAATCAAATAGCAGTACGGCTGGAAGCTTTGTGCTGCGGCAGCCGCGACTGCAATTCCAGGCGGACAGCAAACCAGGACCTTTTGGTGCGGCCAAAGCAGGACCAACATCGCCCAGTGTCATTCCGACGACAGCCAATTCCCTGGCGGTTGCGACCTTCGGAACTCTGGCCAATCCCAGCAGCAGTTCCACAATAGGTTGGTTACATAAAATATTTAACTATTCTTTATTTACCATTGATTTCTTTCCAGGAACTCTGACTCCCAGTGCCTGCTCCGTGTGCTCCGCGGCGGTCAGCAGCAAAGAGGTGGCTCAACCCCGCAAATATGGTGTCGTGGCCTGCGACGTGTGCAGAAAGTTCATCTCGAAGATGACCAAGAAATCCATATCGGCCAGTTCGAGCAGTGCCAATGCCTCCGCCGGCAGCCAATTGCAATGCAAGGGAAGCGAAGGTATGTCCAAGATCATGTCCTCTTATCTACTTCTCACTAATCTTTAATATTTTCCCCCACAGGATCAACCTGCAGCATTCATTCGGCCAAGAGCCAGCTGAAGAACTTTAAGAAGTTTTACAAGGATCGCTGCACGGCTTGTTGGCTGAGGAAATGCATGATCTCGTTTCAGCTGCCGGCAGCGCACAGGAGTAGATTGGGCGCCATTTTGCCAGTGGGAATGCGAGGAGAGGCCTCTTCCCGGGAGGAAAAATCCACGGAACTGCTGTCTCCCACTGGCAGCATACGATTTACTTCCTCCGCCTCCGCTGCTTCCTCTTCTGTGGTTGCATCTAGTTCGGTAAAGTGGAAATCCAGCAGTGATACCGCCTCAGCTTTGACTTCGATTAAGTCAAATCCCCTGGCGGAGAACAATGTAACATTTGGCAGTACTCCACTGCTGCGTCCTGCGATTTTGGAGAAGCCTCTCTTCCTGAAGATAACCAATGCAGCAGATCAGAAGCTCACGGCTGCAGAGGCAATCAGTCCAAGTTTGACCAGGAAGACAAGTAAAACGGAAAAGGAGAAGACTACGGAACAGGAACAGGCCGAGAAGCCGCTCAGTCCCGCTTTGGTGACAGCCAAGAAATCTGCAGTAGTGGAAACTCCAACTATAGAAGCTCAAGCTCAAAAGGAGGAGGCACCACAAACTTCTTCAGCAATACAGCCCGCTTCTTCCAATGGATCTTCTCAAGGAGTTGCTCAAGCAGAACCCAATGGGGAAACTAATGCTACGGGCGACACCCTGAAGCGTCAAAGGATTGATCTAAAGGGACCTAGGGTAAAACATGTGTGCCGCAGTGCCTCCATTGTGCTGGGACAACCCTTGGCCACCTTCGGCGAGGATCAGCCCGAGGAGGAGGCCGATGTGCAGCCGGAAATTGCTGCTCCAGTGCCATCAGCAGTTCCAGAGCCTCTTCCTGAGAAACTAACCAATCAAATGGTTACGGATGAAAACGATAATTGTGCTAGCTGCAAAACTCCGCCTGTTGTGGAGGAAACGAAACCCAGTAAGTCCACTGGAACTACTCAAGCTGAAGTGAAGAAGGTAGCGACAGGAGGAAAGGAGGCATCAGTAAATGTGGCTGGAGGTCAGGCACCCGCAAAGGTTACCACAAGAAATGCCGGCGTTGCATCCAATCTAATAGTGGCGGCCAGCAAAAAGCAGCGAAATGGGGACATTGCTACGTCCGGCTCGGTCAGTCAATCATCCAACCTAACCCAAAGTCGCAAGGCCAAGGAGCAGCGACAGCAACGCACGCTCATCTCCATCGATTTCTGGGAGAACTATGACCCGGCTGAAGTTTGCCAAACGGGTTTTGGATTGATTGTAACCGAGACTGTGGCCCAGAGGGCTCTGTGTTTCCTTTGCGGCTCCACGGGCCTCGATCCTCTGATCTTTTGCGCCTGCTGCTGTGAGCCATATCATCAGTACTGCGTACAGGATGAGTACAATCTGAAACATGGATCTTTTGAGGATACCACGCTGATGGGCAGCCTGCTGGAGACGACGGTAAATGCGTCCACTGGACCATCATCATCGTCGTCCCTCAATCAACTGACTCAGCGTCTGAATTGGTTGTGTCCACGCTGCACCGTTTGCTACACCTGCAACATGTCATCGGGCTCCAAAGTGAAGTGCCAGAAGTGTCAGAAAAACTATCACAGCACATGCTTGGGCACCAGCAAGAGACTTTTGGGCGCAGATCGCCCGTTGATATGCGTCAACTGCTTGAAATGCAAGTCCTGCTCCACCACCAAAGTATCGAAATTTGTGGGCAACCTACCGATGTGCACGGGTTGCTTCAAGCTGCGCAAGAAGGGCAACTTTTGTCCAATATGCCAGAGATGCTACGATGACAATGACTTTGATCTGAAGATGATGGAATGCGGCGATTGTGGCCAATGGGTTCACTCCAAGTGCGAAGGTCTCAGCGATGAGCAATACAATCTGCTGAGCACTCTGCCGGAATCCATTGAGTTTATCTGCAAGAAGTGTGCGCGCAGAAACGAGAGTTCCCGGATAAAGGCTGATGAGTGGCGACAGGCGGTGATGGAGGAGTTCAAGGCGAGTCTCTACAGTGTTCTCAAGCTGCTCAGCAAATCTCGCCAGGCGTGCGCCCTCCTCAAGCTGAGTCCCCGCAAGAAACTGCGCTGCACCTGCGGAGCGTCCTCGAACCAAGGTAAACTGCAACCGAAAGCCCTGCAGTTTAGTAGTGGATCGGATAATGGCTTAGGCAGCGACGGAGAGTCCCAGAACAGCGACGATGTGTACGAGTTCAAGGAGCAGCAGCAACGGAATGTGAACAATATGAACAAGTCACGAGCGAAATCCCTGCCCTGTTCCTGCCAACAGCCCATCAGTCATCCGCAATCCTTCAGCCTGGTGGACATTAAGCAAAAGATTGCTGGCAACTCGTATGTTTCCCTGGCGGAATTTAACTACGATATGAGCCAGGTCATCCAACAGAGTAATTGCGATGAACTGGACATTGCCTACAAGGAGTTGTTGAGTGAACAGTTTCCGTGGTTCCAGAACGAAACGAAAGCCTGCACGGATGCCTTGGAGGAGGATATGTTCGAGTCCTGTTCGGGAGGTAACTACGAGGACTTGCAAGACGGCGGCGGAGGAGGAGGAGGAAGTGCCTCTGTTTACAACGAACACTCCACCTCGCAGGCAGAGTCGCGTTCCGGTGTCTTGGATATTCCTCTGGAGGAAGTTGATGACCTCGGCAGCTGTGGCATCAAGATGCGATTGGACACGAGGGTCTGTCTCTTTTGCCGCAAGAGCGGCGAAGGTTTGTCCGGCGAGGAAGCAAGGCTGCTGTACTGCGGCCACGATTGCTGGGTTCACACCAATTGTGCCATGTGGTCGGCGGAGGTGTTCGAGGAGATTGATGGCTCGCTGCAGAATGTCCACAGTGCGGTGGCCAGGGGCAGGATGATCAAGTGCGTGGTGTGCGGGAACCGAGGAGCCACTGTCGGTTGCAATGTGCGATCCTGCGGCGAACACTACCACTATCCCTGTGCCCGGAGCATCGATTGCGCCTTTCTCACCGACAAATCCATGTATTGCCCTGCCCACGCGAAGAATGGAAATGCCCTGAAGGCCAACGGTTCGCCCGCGGTGACATATGAATCCAACTTTGAAGTATCGCGACCCGTTTACGTGGAGTTGGATAGAAAGAGAAAGAAGTTGATTGAACCAGTTCGAGTGCAATTCCACATTGGATCCCTGGAGGTGCGGCAGTTGGGAACCATTGTCCCGAGATTCTCTGATTCCTACGAGGCGGTGGTTCCCATTAATTTCCTGTGCAGTCGTCTGTATTGGTCGTCGAAGGAGCCCTGGAAAATAGTCGAGTACACAGTGCGCACCACCATCCATAACAGTTCGTCCACGCTAACAGCCCTTGATGTGGGTAGAAACTATACGGTTGATCACACGAATCCTAACAGCAAGGAGGTTCAGCTGGGCATGGCGCAAATTGCCCGCTGGCACTCGAGTCTGGCGAGGAGTGAGAGTTTCATGGAGAATGGCGGTGCCGATTGGAGTGCAGAGTTCCCGAATCCAAACTCCTGCGTGCCACCGGATGAAAATACGGAAGAGGAGCCGCAACAGCAGGCTGATTTACTCCCCCCCGAGATCAAGGATGCCATTTTCGAGGACCTTCCACACGAACTACTCGACGGCATCTCCATGCTGGACATCTTCATGTACGAGGATCTGGCCGATAAGACAGACTTGTTTGCCATTAGCGAGCAATCCAAGGATGGCACTCAGGCAATGACTTCAAGTCAGGCTCATAGTCAAAGTCAGCAGGCAGGAGCATCTGTTAGCATCTGTGATGAGGATACCCGAAATTCGAATACGAGCCTGGGAAACGGCTGGCCAGCCAGCAATCCCGTGGAGGATGCGATGCTGTCGGCGGCCAGAAACTCGAGTCAAGTGCAGATGCTCAAAACGCTGGCCTGGCCGAAGCTGGACGGGAATAGTGCCATGGCCACGGCCATAAAGCGAAGGAAACTGTCGAAGAACTTGGCCGAGGGAGTGCTGCTAACCCTGAGCAGTCAGCAGCGAACCAAGAAGGAGATGGCCACCGTGGCGGGCGTTTCCCGAAGGCAATCCATCAGCGAAGCCTCCACCGAAGGGGTGGCCACCACATCGGGATCGGTGAGGAGCAAGAGTTTCACCTGGAGTGCAGCCAAGCGTTATTTCGAAAAGAGCGAGGGACGCGAGGAGTCGTCCAAGATGAGGATAATGCAAATGGACGGAGTGGATGACTCGATCACCGAATTTCGTATAATTTCCGGAGATGGGAACCTTTCAACGGCTCAGTTCAGCGGCCAGGTGAAATGTGATAGGTGCCAGTGCACTTACAGGAATTACGATGCCTTTCAGCGCCATTTACCATCGTGTGGGCCGAATATGACCACCAATGAATCCGAATCTGATGTGAATTCTGCCGGAGGCAACACAAATCCTGGCCAACTGAGTGCTGAGAGCCTGAACGAGCTGCAAAAGCAACTGCTGGCGAATGCAGGCGGTTTGAATTACCTACAAACAGCAGCGTCGTTTCCTCAGGTCCAGAGCTTGGGATCCCTGGGACAGTTTGGCTTGCAGGGATTGCAGCAACTTCAACTGCAGCCGCAATCCTTGGGCAACGGGTTCTTCCTATCCCAACCGAATCCCACTACCCAGGCGAACACGGACGATTTGCAGATCTATGCGAATTCACTGCAAAGTTTGGCTGCCAATCTGGGTGGAGGTTTCACCCTGGCTCAACCCACAGTGACAGCACAGGCGCAACCGCAATTGATAGCCGTTTCCACGAATCCCGATGGCACCCAGCAGTTTATCCAAATCCCGCAGACAATGCAGGCCACCACACAGCCAACAACGGCCACATATCAGACTTTGCAGGCCACCAATACGGATAAGAAGATAATGTTACCCCTGCAGACAGCTGGAAAACCAATGAAGACCGTGGCCACCAAGGCGGCTCAACAGGCGGCGGTCAAGCAGAGGCAGCTGAAGTCCACCGGCCACCAGGTGAAGCCGATTCAGGCCAAGTTGCAACCGCATCCCCAGCAGCAGCAGCAGCAACCGGCTCAGGTGCAGCAGCAACCCATCACGGTGATGGGTCAGAATCTCCTCCAGCCGCAGCTGCTCTTCCAAAGCAGCGCCCAGTCGCAGGCACCGCAGCTAATCCTGCCGCAGGCTCAGCCGCAGAACATCATATCCTTTGTGACCGGAGACGGAAGCCAGGGACAACCGCTGCAGTACATTTCGATACCCACAGCGGGGGAGTACAAGCCGCAGCCTCAGCCCACGGCGACGCCTACCTTCTTGACAACTGCTCCTGGAGGAGGTGCCACCTATTTGCAAACGGATGCGAGTGGAAATCTAGTACTGACCACCACACCCACCAATTCGGGACTGCAAATGCTGACGGCGCAATCGCTGCAGGCGCAACCGCAGGTGATTGGAACGCTCATCCAACCGCAGACTATTCAACTGGGAGGAGGAGGAGATGCTAACCAGGCGGGTGGTAATCAACAGCCCTTAATTTTGGGAGGAACTGGAGCAGGAACTTCGGGACTGGAGTTTGCCACCACCACGCCGCAGGTGATCCTGGCCACCCAACCGATGTACTATGGCCTGGAGACAATTGTCCAAAATACAGTGATGTCGTCGCAGCAATTCGTGTCCACTGCAATGCCCGGAATGCTCAGCCAGAATGCCAGCTTCTCGGCCACCACCACTCAGGTGTTCCAGGCTAGCAAAATAGAACCGATTGTGGATCTGCCCGCTGGCTATGTGGTGCTCAATAATGCAGGAGATGGAACCGGTGCAGGGACATTCTTGAACGCGGCCAGTGTGTTGCAACAGCAGACGCAGGATGAGGCGACCACACAGCTCCTGCAGAATGCCAACTTCCAGTTCCAGACGGTGCCCGCATCCTCGGGAGCCTCCTCCACATCGATGGACTACTCTTCACCCATTATGGTGACGGCCAAGATTCCGCCAGTTACTCCAGTGAGGAGAACGAATGCTCAAGCCAAGGCGGCGGGTCTATCGGGAGTGAGTAAAGTGCCGCCGCAGGTGGTCAACAAGGTGCTGCCCACCAGCATAGTCACCCAGCAGCAGGCGCAAGTGCAGCTGAAGAACGCCAATCTCAAGCAGTCTCAGGTGAAGGGCAAGGCGGCATCGGGAACGGGAACCAATTGCGGAGCACCACCCAGTATTGCTTCGAAGCCGCTGCAGAAGAAGACCAATATGATTCGACCCATTCACAAGCTGGAGGTGAAACCGAAGGTAATGAAGCCCACGCCCAAGGTGCAAAGTCAAGCGATGTTGCAGCAGCAGCAGCAGCAACAACAGCAGCAGCAGCAGATGCAGCAGTCACAGATGCAGCAGCAAATTCCCGCAGTCGTGGTCAGTCAAGTGCCCAAGGTTACGATCTCACAGCAGCGAATTCCAGCGCAGCCACAGCAGCAGCAGCTTCAGCAGACGCAGTTGATCCACATTCCGCAACAGCAGCAGCATCAGCAGCAGCAGCAGCAACAACAGCAACAAGTACAAGTGCAGGTTCAGCCATCGATGCCCATCATTACCCTGGCCGAAACACCCGTGCTGCAAACCCAATTCGTGATGGAACCCCAAGTGCTGGAGCAGCAGGAGCTGGCCAACCGGGTGCAGCACTGTTCCCTGCCCACCAATGTGGTGAATCCCATGCAACAACAGGCGCCACCACCACCAACTACGAGCAGTTCGACAACGAGGCCAACGAATCGGGTGCTGCCAATGCAGCAGCGCCAGGAACCGGCTCCTTTGGCCAACGAGTGTCCCGTGGTTCCATCGCCCACGCCGCCGAAACCTGTAGAGCAGCCGGTTATCCAGCAAATGACCAGCGCCAGTGCTTCCAAGTGCTATGCCCAAAAGAATGCACTACCTTCGCCGGTTTACGAGGCGGAACTTAAAACCAACTCGGTTTTGGAGAGCATTGTGCCGGCGGTCACGATGGACGCCATTATGGAGGAACAGCCGGCCACCGAGTCGATCTACACGGAGGGACTGTACGAGAAGCATTCACCGGCGGAGGCCAAGACCGAGCAACTAATCCTCCAGCAGCAGCAACGCGAGCAACTCAGCCAACAGCTGGCCAACAGCGGTTATCTGCTCGACAAGCATGCCTTCCAAGTGGAGCCCATGGAAACGGATGGCTACCGGGAGGAAGATCTCGAGGAGGAGGAGGAGGACGACGAGGATGATGACTTCAGCTTGAAGATGGCCACGTCGGCGTGCAACGATCACGAGATGTCCGACAGCGAGGAGCCGGCGGTCAAGGATAAGATCAGTAAGATACTCGACAATCTGACCAACGATGACTGTGCTGATTCCATAGCCACTGCGACGACAATGGAAGTGGAAGCCTCTGCTGGTTACCAGCAAATGGTGGAGGACGTCCTGGCCACCACGGCCGCAGCATCGGCGGCTCCCACCGAAGAGTTTGAGGGCACACTGGAAACCGAAGCTGTCGAAGCGGCTGCTACATACATAAATGAAATGGCCGATGCCCATGTTTTGGAACTGAAGCAGCTGCAGAATGGAGTGGAACTGGAACTGAGGAGGAGAAAGGAGCCGGAGCAGGAGCAGGAGCCATCCAAGGAGCCATCCACCGTCGTCGTGCCCACCGCAGCTGCTCCAGAGCCACCGCCACCCATGCGAGAGCCCAAGAAGATCAGCGGTCCGCACTTGCTGTACGAAATCCAGAGCGAAGATGGCTTCACGTACAAATCGAGTTCCATAGCGGAGATCTGGGAGAAGGTCTTTGAGGCCGTGCAGGTGGCCAGGCGGGCCCATGGACTCACCCCGCTGCCAGAGGGTCCGCTGGCCGATATGGGTGGCATCCAGATGATTGGCCTCAAAACGAACGCTTTGAAGTATCTGATTGAACAGTTGCCGGGCGTGGAGAAGTGCTCGAAGTACACGCCCAAGTATCACAAGCGAAATGGCAACGTTTCCACAGCGGCGAGTGGCGGACATGGAGGGAATACGGGCGGAGGCTGTGCATCCGCTGCTTTGGCATCGGCTGCAGGTGGAGATTCGCAAGGCCTTCTCGACTACGGATCGGATCAGGATGAGCTGCAGGAGAATGCCTTCGATTGCGCCCGCTGTGAGCCGTACGCCAATCGCAGCGAGTACGACATGTTCAGTTGGTTGGCCTCGAGGCATCGCAAACAGCCCATCCAGGTGTTTGTCCAGCCATCAGACAACGAATTGGTGCCCAGGTAAGAGAATACTATTTTTTTCGCACGAAAATCCTTTATTAATTGGGTAATTTCTTTGACTTGCTTAGGAGGGGAACCGGCAGCAATCTGCCCATGGCCATGAAGTATCGCACGCTGAAGGAGACCTACAAGGATTACGTTGGAGTCTTCCGATCGCACATCCATGGACGCGGCCTCTACTGCACCAAGGACATTGAAGCGGGTAAGGGAATCATTTTATTATAAAATTTTTATAATAAAAGTTTAATTAATAAACTGAAATCTAATCTGAATCCTGTTTAATTCATTTCAAATTTGCTTTTTCCAGGTGAAATGGTTATCGAATACGCTGGTGAGCTGATTCGCTCCACGCTGACAGACAAAAGGGAGCGTTACTATGACGGTCGTGGCATCGGCTGCTATATGTTTAAGATCGATGATAACCTCGTGGTTGATGCCACCATGCGCGGCAATGCGGCTCGATTCATAAATCACTCCTGTGAGGTGAGTACAAAACTAGAGTACTTTTTGCCAGTAGAGATGCTAAAGTAATTTTTCATTGCAGCCGAATTGCTACTCGAAAGTGGTAGATATCTTGGGACACAAGCACATCATCATCTTTGCGCTGCGTCGAATCGTTCAGGGCGAGGAGCTGACCTACGACTATAAGTTCCCCTTCGAGGAGGAAAAGATACCCTGCTCATGCGGTTCGAAGAGGTGTCGGAAGTACTTAAATTAAGGGAAAGGTCAATGACAGGGATAGAAAACAAGAAGGACGCTGGGCGTCCGAATTAATCCGTATACTCAGAAACTGGGGTTGATTTTTCCAAAAAAGATCTGAGAGATCCTAGGGGTGGAAAGTAATTAGGGCACTTTAACCTGGATACTTTGATTTAATATTACTTTTGCCCTCCTGCCTGAAGAAAATCCAAGACATTTTCGAATAAAGTATTGTAAAGCAATAGTCCAATACAACAAACTACTCTAACAGTTTAAACTAAATAGTAAAGAAAATAGTACATCACTCAGATGTAGTTTTACATACAGTTATTAACTTGTTCTGATTGGACTATCGTAATCGATTTTTAATTATTGCCGTATTTATAGTAGTTATTTTATTTTTTAAACTTTTATTACAAAAAGTGATTGATCAAATATTTTCTTAGAACAACTAAGAAAAACATAACAAGAGAAGCCTAGTTTTTCTTTCAGGCGAGGAGAGGCAAAAGTAATATTAAAAAAACAGGCTATTAGTTGTGCAATGATTACATTCTCTCCCCTTTTAATTGCGAAAATCAAAATACCATTTGTGAACAGAAATAAGCACACCTGGAATGAGAATTGAAACACTTGTAGTTAACGGTTATATCGATCTATGTTTGGTCAATCGTGATACTTTTCGTTTTACAACCCCCATACGTCTTAAGTAGTTGATATGTAAAAGTTAAACAGTTGATATTATTATATGTCCTATATCGAAAAACAACCCGGCACATATTAGGCAACGAAGCAAGTAGATTCCGAGCAATCGGAACAGAACAGATCGGAACGAACAGAAACTCGACGACGTCAGTATTCAGGGGGAGAAGAATTAATTGTATATTAAATATGTTACGTATAATAATACGCCGATCAGTTAGCTAACTAGACTTAGGCTCCACAGATTCTATAAACAACGTACACACATAACTAAGCTAAGCTGATAAATATAACTCTTGTTGGGCTTAGGCGAATGACAGATAAACGATGGGAGACATTAAAAACAATTACTTACAGGGGCTTGTGTTAGATTGTACATACATTGCATACGAATTATAAATATCTATATTATATATACCTACTGTAATGAGAAATTAACTAACCTTAAGTTACCAGGATTGTGTGTAAGAAGAAACTATTTTATGTAGAGCTCCGCGTATTTATGTTTGTTAACAATTAACCAGCTGATTAATTGATTGAACTACGAATAATATCCGCAACCACATGCTTATACATATATATCTATTTAGGGAACGAAACCAAGCATCACCCTTGAAATTATTGTATTGTGAACAGGCAACACCAACAACCAATTGTAATTGTACGAACTCCATTGATTGTATATTTATTATTTTATACCTAAGTTTTAAAGCATGTATATTTTTGTGACCATTTGTTTGCCTTGATCGGAGCCCAAGCATAATCATAATTTGTAACGCCTAACCTTAGTTCAGCTCCCTTGTATTCTACTAGTTTCTACGATTGTTTCGCTTAAGACTAGCATTAGTCCGCTCTGGTATTTGTCCAAAATTGTACACAGACACACACACACACACAGCAGGCAGATATGTATATTCCTATCGGGGCGATCGGTCGGACTTGTACAGGCAAAGTTCCATAGCATTTTTTGGCAGCCATTCAAGACGCGCGCACTTTTTGCACGCTGTCGAGGAATTTTATATTTTTATTCCCTAAAGAAAAAAGTTTAATAAACTACAGATTAAAATTTAAATCGTTTTCTTGTTCTAACTTTTATGGAAAATATAATGTAATGTAATACATATGTATCAGTGGATCTCTTTGTACTGCCGCCAGGCGCGTCGGCTTCTTGCGCTGCAGGAATCGGCGGAATCGGATGATTCCGAGTGCTCGATCCGCTGCTTGGCTTCCTGGGCGGCTCTGGCTGCTTTGAGGGCCGCCTTCTTGGTCTTCTCGAAATCTATCCGAGCGTCGCTCAGTTGCCGCATCAGCACATTGACCCTTCGCTGGGCGGCCTCCAAGAGCGCGGATTTGTCGCTCAGCGACTGTTGCCACACGGCGTATACTTGTTCCGAGGTGTCCCGGTTATCCTTAGCCAGCTTGTGGCTTATGGTCAGCGTCTTCAGCTCCTGCTGTCCCAGATTGTGCGCCTTGTTGGCCAGCTGGGCATTCGCCTCGGCCGTGATCAGCTCCTGGTTCTCCTCCTGCACCACCATCTCGGCCTCCCGCACCTCCGCCTCCAGTTGCTCCAGCACCTGACCCTTTCCGGCCAGCACAGCCTCGGCTGCTTTCGCGGCGGCGGATGCCTTGTCGGCATATTCGTTTTTGATCTTATCGGCGGCCACCTTGACGGCCGAGGCCATGTCCTCGTTGGCCTTCTTGGCTTCGTTGGCGGCCTGAACGGCGATGCCGGAGGATCTCTGCTTGGCATTACCTTGATGTCGCAGCTGCTTCTTTGGCTGGGAGCCACTCGAATCGCAAGAAACTGCCGATCCGCCCCCTGCACCAGCGAAGGACTTCATGAGGTCCGTATCCTCCGGTTGCATGTGCTTCCGGCGCGTTCGATAGTGACCAGTGCCGGTGGCGGATGCCTGGAGCGAGGACAAAACAATGATTAGCAGCATGATCTGAACGTCTATCCGCATTTTCCGTAGTCTCGGGCATTTTTTCCGACTGTCAAACGGACTGAGATGCCTGTCAGGTGCGGAAATCGAGATTATGCTCTATTGCCAGGCAATGTGCCTAATCCTGCTCAACATTGCTTGCGTTTCCCGCGGCCATCTGGACATGTCAGGCGAAAAGGTGAGTGGAAGTCCACGAAAGGTCAGCAATAAGTTTATTTTTCCCTTTAGGATTTAGTTTGGTTGTACGAGACTGGCGGAGGCGGAGGAGGATCCCCCGATGCTTCCGGATGCGATGCAGCTGCGGAAGCCCAAAGATCCTGTGGCCTCAACCAGAAGGGTGCCAAGATCAAGGCCTCCAGCATCGCGGTGAAGGCCGCCCAGGATGCAAAGGCGGCGAACGATGCCCAGGTGGCCGCCGGCGAGGCTGCCTCGCTGCAAGTGAAAGTGGAACTGGCCGACAAGGCGGTCCAAGCGGCTCGGGCGGCCGAGGCTGCTCTGGCGGGAAAGCAGCAGATCATGGAACAGCTGGAACTGGAGCAAAAGGAGGCGGAGGCGGTGGTGGGCGAGGTGGAGAACTCACTGCAGAGCACCCAGTTAAATGCCGAGTCCGCCGTAAGAGCCCTCTCCGATGCCAAGAACCAGTTGAATCAACTGCGAGTCCTGGTTAACGAGGCCACCGCTCAGATGAGCAACATCGAAGGATTTGCCCATGGCGCCAGCATGGAGCTGGAGGAGAAGTCGCAGCTTTTGGAGGCGGCCAAGCGGCGGGTGGAGGGCATCTCCAGGCAAGTGATCTCCGCCAGGCAGGATTACGAAAAGACCAAGAAGGCGGCCTACAAAGCAGCCTGTGCTGCAGTGGAGGCCAAGCAAAAGGCTCAACGGCAGCAGCGGGAGATCAACTCGGCGTCCTCTTCGAGCTAGAAAAGATTATTATAAGGAGGGTGATCTAGTGGAATAAAAACCATATCTTATGTGGTTCGGAAGACATTTATAGTTTTGTACATTTATTATCCGAAATATTGTGAAGAGTTTTAATTTATTAAACGAATATATATTTTTAATCAAATAAATAACTAAGTAAGCCACTTAAACATGAACTAAATTTAACAGTTTGGTTAAAATATTATATTTTAAAATAGTATTTATTATGGAATTTGAAAGCCGCGAATTCTTTAGTAAGCAAAACATCTTTTATTTTGTATTAACATATTTAATAAAATGTGCTATTAAGGAAAGTTAAAATTTTTTTATTTATAATATAATAAAAATTATTAAATGCTTTGTAGAATTTTGAAACTAATATATATTAAATGAATAGTATTATTTGACCAATTAATCAAAGAACACAACTGAATTTCTTTCTTTATCCAAATGTCTCATTAATGTATCATCAATCAATGAAGTTGTTATGGTAAAATGGCTTTTGGCTTTAGAACCCTATGAGCTCTAATTATTAATTGTATGATATTATGTCAGCCTTGCGTATTCCAAGGATTGCTAATATCTTCCCGATCAGATCAGGCTTTCCGAATGGAGTCAGAGCCGGATGTTTCCAAATATTCGATCGGAATATGCCTGGCACGAAAGCGCTGCTCATCGTCCTGCTACTCCTGCATGCGTGTCCCCGACTGGAGAGCTTCCACTACCGACCTGCCCAACCGAATGCCAAGCACTGCCTGTCCAGTTTGTACGGGGAGGCCAGCGTCGATGGTTCGGAGACAGGAGGTGGAGGAGGAGGAGGCGGATCCGGGTGTTCGGAGCAGACCGGGAAGAAGACCAGCTGTACCGGTGGCGGCGGCGTCTTGGGTCGCGGTGATCCCAAGGCCAAGGCGTCAAACATTGCCCAGAAGGCCGCTCTGGAGGCCAAGGCAGCCAGCGATTCCCAAATGGCAGCTGCCGAGGCGGCTGCCTCACAGGTCAAATCCGAATTGGCCGCCAAGGCAGCCCAATCTGCGCGCGCGGCGGAGGCGGCACTGGCCGGCAAACAGCAGATCGTGGAGCAGCTGCAGCAGGAGATGACCGAGGCGGATGCGGTGGTCAGTGAGGTGACCTCGTCGCTGCAAAATACCCAGGCGAATGCCAATGCCGCCGCAGCGGCTGCCCACGAGGCGCAGACGCAGCTGAATCAGCTAAAGAGTCTCGTGATGGCCGCCACCGCCAATATGGCCAATATCGAGAACGTGGCCAGTGGGGCGCAGCAGGAGCTGGCCGAGAAGACGCAGCTCCTGGAGGCGGCGAAGCATCGGGTGGAGAATCTGGGCAGGCAAATGACCGATGCCAAGTCGGACTTCGAGAAGACCAAGCAGGCGGCCTACAAGGCAGCCTGTGCAGCGGTGGAGGCCAAGCAGAAGGCCCAGAGGTCGCGACGGATGACCCACCAACAGCAGATGCGATGGGGTCCAAGGAAAATGGCTGGGAAGTTCAAGGACGGAGAATCCAAGATGTAGCATCGTTAGGATCAATTGATCTTTTGTATATTTTGTTATGTTCCGCTTTCGGTTTTCTTTAGTTTAGTCTATTAAAAGTTAAGGTGTTTTATTTTTAAACATTTTATAATTATGGGTCTTGTTTTTATAAGTTTCAAATATAATTTCAAATTTAAAACCGTTACTTTCTTACTTGGTGCTGTTAAGTTAACATAGCCACTGTTAGGCGCACTGTTAGCCGGCTGATGGGCAGCACTGCCCGAACAGCTGTTCAAAATGTTATAAAATCAACCGGCAAATGGTTCAAGATATTTTTTATTTAGTTTTATATTAAAACAGCCTTATAAACCATGCTCATAAGAAGAATTAAGTGCCTGCGTTACCTGGGAACCCGCCACAACAGTTCGCACTATGTGACAACGCCAATTTTCTATGTAAATGCAGGTGAGCGTATTTTAGTTTCAGTGCCAAAGGATTTTAGTTATAGAAATCTTAACTTTTGGATAGCCCCCCACATTGGTCACCTCTACTCGGCGGTTATAGCCGATGCCCACTGTCGCTACCAGAGATTAAGGAACCCGGAGAAGGAAGTACGGCTCTGTACGGGAACGGATGAGCATGGCACCAAGATCCAACAGGCGGCGGCTCTTCACGGGATTCCCGTGGCCAAGTATTGCGATGATATATCGGAGCGATATCGGGAGGTGTTCCGTAGTGCCAGTATCCAGCCGGAGGACTTTATCCGAACCACGGAGGAGCGACACAAGCGGGCAGTGGCCCATTTCTGGGTATGATTGGGGTTTCCTTATGGTTTTATGCAAAAAAGAACCTATAGGTTATAGCCAATTTCGTTTTATAGGATATTAACTTACTCCGTACCCAAATAGAGCGTTTCATCTTACAGATCTCTTTACCTAATTATGTAAAATCAAAGGCTTGAATATTTAAAAACCCTTCTTCAAAAAATTGCCAAAAAAATACTTGTTAATAATAATTTGAAAATATTTGTTTGAATAATTAATAATTTTAAAGTAAGGTCTAGTACTCAACCCATCAAAAAGTCGTACAAAAGAAAAAACTTCATATAGAAAAAAAATTCTTGACGTTTCTTTCATATGAAGTTTTTTGCTTAGGACGACTTTTTGTTGGGCTGAATTCTAGCCCTAAGGAAACTAGAATATTTACAATTCCTTCTTTAAAAAGTGGCAAAAAAATACTTGTAAATAATAATTTGAAAATATTTTGTTAAATAATTAATAATTTTAAGGTAAAGAAACTAGAAAAATAGGACGAAGTTTAATAACTAATCACAATTTTTTACATAAACAGAAAACACAAACATTTTATAGAACTTTTTTGTTCCCCAGACTCCGCAGAACCATATCCATTTCATTCTAAACTAAAAGTATTATATCTCTAATCCTCAGCGCACTCTTCACACACGAGGCCACATCTATTCGGCTGCCTACAGCGGTTGGTATTGCGTGTCGGACGAAACCTTCCTCACCGACTCCCAGCTGAGATTGGATGAGTCCACCGGCAGCCGTTACTCCCTGGAATCTGGGCATCCCGTCGAGTGGACCGAGGAGACCAACTATATGTTCCGGCTGTCGCAATTCCAAGACGATGTGCGCCATTGGGTGAAGCAGGAGGCTCGCATCCGGCCGGCTAAGTTCGAAAAGATTCTGCTAGACACTCTCAGCGAACCACTGCCGGATGTATCGGTATCCCGTCCTTCCAACCGCGTTCACTGGGCCATTCCGGTGCCGGATGATGATACGCAGACGGTCTACGTCTGGCTGGATGCTCTGGTCAACTATCTCAGCTCTGTGGGATATCCCAATGAGGGGGTGAGTTTAATGTTTATTTATTTTAATATTTATTATTAAACTTTTACATCTAACTAATCCCTCGTTCCCTTTCAGTACTCCGCCCACTGGCCACCGGCGCAGCAGGTGATCGGCAAGGACATCCTCAAGTTCCACGGCATCTACTGGCCCGCCTTTCTCCTGGCCGCCGGTCTGGAGCCTCCTGGGCAGCTCTACGTCCACTCGCACTGGACCGTCGACGGGCAGAAGATGTCGAAGAGCAAGCACAACGTGGTGGATCCCGTCCAGGCGGCCCGCCAGTACACGATGGAGGGCCTGAGATACTTTCTGCTGCGGGAGGGCGTGGCCCACAGCGATGGCAGTGAGTGAATCGAAACCGCGAAATCCCTTTGATGTCTGTGGCTTGTTCACTTTGCGGCTGCAATGCCATGTGGCCATGTGGCCAGCTGGGAAATAGGAATAGGAATAGGCAGGGTTAGGGATTGTGGGCGGAGGAATGTGGCCCTGCCTGCGGTTATTCAAATAGTTTTTCCATCAAATTATCAACCGAAACTGTTGAGGTTGCCTTCAAGTGGGTGTCCGTATGTGAGTGGCCATCTGTCGTCGTTAGTTTTACGGCAATGGTTACCTCTGCTTTAATTTGCATTTCAATTTTATGCCCGAACTGCCAAACCGAAAGAGGAACCTAAAGTCGAGAACTGGGCAAAAGTTTTTGGCCAGGAGAAGGCGAGTGCTGACTTTTGTTTATTTGCCTCGAAAGTTTTCGTATCCCGAACTTGCAGCATTTGCATAAGGATGGTATGGGGTGAAAACAGTTTTCGGGGGAAAGTTTCTGATTCCGTGAGGAATCCATCAATTGTCCGACAGATATGATTTCGTTTGGCATTGGAGCGGGCTATCGAATAGAAAGCAATTAACACACTTCGCTGGGTGTCACGGGATGCGTTTTGATTGATTCGCCAACCTTTTTCGGGTTTTCCATTTGCATAAATTGCTGGCATTCCGCTCACCCGCCTCTCATAAAATTTAATTTTCAATTATTGCTGACTTTGCCTTTCCGACGGATTTTCCAGACTGCCGGCTGCTTTTCACGTTTGCCTTTATTCAATTTGCGCTTGTTGATGTTTCTCTTTTTAATTTTTTTTATGGCCCGCTGCCTTGCGGCTAATTTAATTGCATTTTTATTGCATTTGCCCGGCAAATTGAAACCAAAAAAACAATGAAAAAAAGTGCGAACTGCTGCAGTGCGTCAGCGTCGCATAATTAAATTACAAAAGTTCGACATCGCGCGAATTTTGCATATTTTTTCGGTCCATGAATGATTTATGTCGCGCGGCAGATAAATTTACTTTAATTCGCGCCGACTGCCGTCCATTAGGCGGAAAATCACTTACTTTCCATCAAACAGTTTGCCACAAATTCGATATTGTGGCCCAAGGTGACATCCGCTTTTTCAGAAAGCTGTCATCGGGACAACATCATTATTAGATGCTCAAGTTTTCATTACAGGCCAAACTTCCGCAACACAGAAATTGCATTTCGTATTTGAGGACATAACAGCTGCTGGTAAAGGAGCAGAAATTGTGAAAGGACCACCAGGACCACCAGCATCTGCGGTTATGTTAGAAAAAGTTGCCCAGGAAATGCAAATAGGGGAGGTGCGCTGCTGATGCAATCAACTTCCCTGGGGCGTCACTCAATTTTAAAATTTGAATACATAAACTTGTCATTGAAGACTGTTATAAGTACTCGCGGAAGTTCGGTGACGTTGGGAAACATCTTTGTGGCCCTTTTCAAATTTGTACAACTAAACTATCTTAACTTATCTTTGATTTAAAGAGATATTAAAGCTAATAGGTAAAAAAGGTAATTTCATAAATATGTAAAGACTCTAGGTAGAGGTTTCTAATGTTCGGTGTATATTGTACAAACACACATAATATAATTCAGTTTGTGATGGTTATAAGTAAAGTGATTCAACTCACATTTCCCATAAAAAATTTGTTTGGTTGCATGCCAAATTTATGTTTGCCAATTTTATGTTTTTTTTTGCTTTGCTCATGGATTGTTAGTAATATTTAATTTATTATCATGTCTCTATGGAATCAAAGATCAAATCATGCTTATCTTGCTTGTATAAGATAATGTTAAAATGAGCTCTGACCCGAAAAAAATACATCGATCATTGATAATAGCGCACTTACCATGCCACATTATATACAATATTTAAACCCATATTTTTATTATTGCCAGGTGGTTTTAAAAACAGGAGGAGTTTAAAATTGAAATTCCTGCATTTAATAATTTTTCCTATATTGCAACGCATAGCGTATTTCATCGACAGTCATTCTGCGGGCTACGCGAGTTGTGGTGGTGGGTGGTGGGTCTGTGGATAGATTAAATAGGGGTCAGTGATCGCTCACTTAAATTGTCTTGTTTTTCACTCACACTTTTCGTTGGTGCACAGAGTGTCGTTATTGAGTTTAAAACTGGTCAGCATGGGCAGCTCGTTCGTTATGTTGAAGAATTTCACGAACATCTGAGCGGCCCTTCCACTTCTTACGTTGGCATAGCTCTCTTCATTGGAGGGATACGGATTGAGATAGTCTACTTGATCCTATACGGAAATTTCAGTTGAGATCATATTTCAATGACTTCCTTTAAGTGCATACCACGTGGGCGCCATGGGCTGTGAACTTGGCCTCCCAGTAAAATTCCTTCAGATCGGTCCGGTGCGCCTTAAAAACGCCTATAAAGTCTCTTCCCAAGTTTGTTGGTGCATATGTGAAATATTCATCGCAATTGTTTCTCGGAACTTGTACAGCCAGAACCGAGATCAGAGAAACAAAAAAGCAAAACCAAAATGTGATTGACATTGCGATGCTGATGAAGGCTGATAGAAGACTAATTGTATTATGTTGTGACTTTCACTTGGAACGTAAATAAAAATGTATACATATAATATAAGAGCGACGAATTCACTGAGAGAAACCAGAACTCAAAAGAACAACATTTATTTTAGGCATATCTTAGCAAGAGGTATAATAATATCCGTCACAACTCTGCATCGCAGTAAAAATCGCACATTCAATCCTATAAATAATATTTAATAATAACCCCTTAATGAAAAATGAATTTAAACATATATGTTTACGTGTATACACGCATTAAACTCAAAATACTTTTATGATTTTAAATTTAACGATTAGCTGCCGGTCCATTTATTTACAAATAACAATCTGTTGTTTTTATAAATATCCATATAGGTATTTTAATCCAGTCTCAGGAATACGAGCTTAATTTCGTCGAAATCGCCATTATAAAAATGAAATAGTTTTAGCTAATAGTGTATATAAAATACAGTAGCTTAATTAGTAGATTCCCATGGATTTACTTATTTATTAAATATTTTCCGGTAGGTACTTAGATTTTCAGTGTTCTATAGGTGAAGTTGAGCACGACTGATAAGAAAAATAAACAGACATATAATTTCTTATGAGATTTATTTAGTCACATTGGTTTATTAACACAACGAACATTAATTAAATATGAGTTGGGAATACAGAATTATGAATTATTATTATTATTTATTACTTATTAAATATTATAATTCAGTTAAAAGTGTTCTTTAGTTTTTTGTAATTTAAACTTTATCCTCTTATTCCTTAACTTTATGCAGTAGTGTTTCCTATTTAATACATTTCGTTATAGAATCGATAAAATAAATATTATCACATACGTTTGTGTTGGCAACACCAAAATTTATGGATTCGGAATTCTTTTGACGTACATAACAGCTTCGAGTTATGGTAAATAGAGAATAGCATCGATGATCTATAAGAAACTTTTTTTTTATCTTGACATTGAATTTGCATCTTTTTATACCTACGTATCTGCGTGCTGCACAGGGTTTCTCCATTCAGATTTAAAAGTGTCATTCTGGGTAGCCATGGGTATATTTCTTCCTTGAAGCCCACAAACATTTCGCCAGGGGATTCATATGGTTCAAAAAAGGTAATCGCATTCTTTCGAGAACATAAGAAGTTGGTATTGCTCATATGTACATCACTTGCCAAAACTGCAGCTTACGTGTTTAAAGCCGGGAAACATGAATTGTACCGTCCACTTAAATTCAGAATTGTTTGTTTCGGGTGGCCTAAAAATTCCAATGGGGTTCTCCCCATTCTCGAACTCGAATCTGAATTCTGAGCAATTGTGGATAGGGTAAATCCATCCGGATCTCACAAAGTCTAGGGCTAGGCAAAAGCAAAATAAATAAAGGATTGCCATTTTGTCTGAACGAACCGATGTTGATAGAGGCTTATAGAAAACTAATGCTAAAAGTTGCAAACTTATCAAAATAAATAAAATAGAAATAGGGATTTTTTCTTATCTGAAGGGCCTTGTAAAATATTCATAGCTTTTTCATTAGATTAGGTACACAATAATCTGAAATCAGGGAATGCAAATGGGTGACTCATTTCGTTAGAAATGTCAGGCAGGGCTGAAAGCCGAACGGGGGGTTTTTGTAATATTTGTTAGTAATATATTTTAATCATTTTACCGTCAATTATTAAATATTACTTACCTACCAATCGTATCGTATTTAATTTTAGTCAAACATATATGCAAAAATTATTTTCGTCAGGGTTTTTTATGTTGTTATGAAAATTGGACAATCAGGGTTTTGAACCCAGCCCTGATTAAAATGTAATATAAGATTTTACAATAAAATATTTTATTTCTTCGGCTTATCAGTTAGGTGATTTAATGTCAATGTAAGCTGTATTGTTTTTTTTATATTTTATGGGCCTCTGCTTATCAATTAGTACCCGATGCCGGGGGCTTGACTTGAGCTCCTGATAAGACGGACATTTTCCGTGCCACACGCACCGTAGTCTCGGGGTGTGCATCTGTGGAATGATTGTTTCTGTGGAATAGTGATCATTTTAAAAAAATATTGGAATTTTCAACTCACATTTTGCGTTGGTGCACAGGGTCTCTCCATTAAGTGCGAAATGAGTCAGCAGAGGTAATTCATCTACGATGTTAATAAAATTAACGTACATCTGTACAGGATTTCCGTATCGAATACTAGCAAGGACGGCCTCTTCAGAGGGATAGGGGTTGAGGATTCCGATTTCGTTCTGAAAAACAAAGTCTATTAAAACTATGCAACATTCAGAAGAATCCTCAATTACCATATTAGCACCCATAGACGAAAACTTTGCCTCCCAGTAAAAATCCTTTATGTTTGCCCTATTTGCCGTAAAAATGCCTATGTAATTATTTTCGCTAACTGGGGCGTAGGAAAAGTATTGATTGCAATTCGGATTCGGTATAATCATAGGCAGAGCAGAGTTGAAAAAGAGAAAAAAGCAAAGAAAGAAAGCGATCGACATTTTTTAGTACTTATAGAGGCTAAAGCAAAACGGAGAATGATTGGGAAAAAACTGTGCTTACTTATTCGAATGGAAAGAAAACGGAAGTTAGATGAAGATGAAATTTTTTGATAAGGTTATATAACGGTCGACAATTTTTCTATTAATGCCTAACGCCCTACTAAAGTATATTATAATACTCTCTCAAAAAACTCAAAGGCCTGCTCGTTGAACAATAAATGGCTTATGGATCTCTAATCAGAACACTCTCGCTAGGCAAAACACGAGCTCTCAAATTAAAGAGTAAAATACATTTTTTTTCACGAATATTAAATTAATAAGCTGGGTTGTTTTTTAATAAATGAATATTTTATGGACTATTTAAAAAGTTTTTATACCCGTTACTCGTAGAGCAAAAGGGTATATTGTCTTCGTGCAAAAGTAAGTAACAGCTAGAAGGAAGCATTTCCGACCCTATACAGTATATATATTCTTGATCAGGGTCACTAGCCGAATCGATATAGCCATGTCCGTCTGTATGTCTGTCCGTATGAACGCTGAGATCTCGGAAACTATAAAAGCTAGAAGATTGACATTTTGCATGCAGATTCTAGGAGTTTCTACGCAGCGCAAGTTTGTTTCAAAAGGGTGCCACGCCCCCTCCAACGCCCACAATCGCTCATATACGATTTTAAAAATTTCAATTTTTCGGAAAAGTAAAAATGCAGTTTTGTGGTGTTTATCAATACATATCGAAATGTAGAAGAAATTTTTTAAATCGGACCATTCGTTAAAAAGTTACGGCGGATCAAAGTTTTTATCTCCATCTCCTTTAGCTGAGTAACGTTTATCTGATAGTCGGGGCACCCGACTATAGCGTTCTCTCTTCTTTTTTATATTTTATGGAGAATTAAAAAAGTTGTGAATTTGTATTTTAAACTTCTCTATAACAAAAAAAAGGTCGTATTAAAAGCAAGTCTTTGGATTTTATGAATATTTATCTTAAATAAGATTCAATAAAAAAATTAAATTTAAATTAAATTAAATTTAAATTCCATAAAACTTAAACAAAATTTTTCCAATTACTTCATTATTAAAAATTTGTAAGAAATCAATTATATGCCAAATGTATATTGTCTCTTGAAGGAGACGCACATTTACTCAACTCAATATCTTCATTGTCACAAGTTACATTCTCGCACAACGAAGAGACCCTTCTCTCTGACTTTTCTACCCTTTTGGCCTCTTAAATGTTTGCTTAACCCCATATTTTTCCATAACCTTTTTCCAAACCCGTCTATCCGATCCAGTGGCAACCGATTCTGTTAAAGGGCTGACAAGAAATTAGTGTTTGGCTCATAACCCATACGCCCTGTGTGTTGCCCCTGGCAAATTTGCCTGACACCTGCGACTAGCTGTCTCCGATTGCAGGGAGGCTTGTTAAATATTTGATGGCACCACCTCTGCACTTAAAGCCAAGTTATGCTGTTGAAAAATACGGACAGAGGCAAAATTGTGTCAAAGTTTTCTGCAGGCGATGGCAAAAAAGTGGAGCAGCGACAAGTTATTCAAGTTATTTAAGGTGCAGCCAAACAGGCAAACAGGCAACAGCCCGCATTCGAAGTGCAGCTCTTGGGGCACGTAAAAAAGTATTATTTATATTACTGCCAGGAAGAGAAAGAGCGGCTGCATTTGTCTGAGGAGCGGGTGGCACATCCTTATCCTCAACCTCCTCCTACTTATACTTCTACTCCCACTTTGGTCACGTGGCAGCATGTGCAGCGTGCTTAAAGTCGGTGGCAAGTGTTGTACACGGCTTCCTCGTGCCGTCAGCAACTTTTGCTTTTTTGCACAATTTGTAGCTGCTCACGTAAGCAGTTAAGAGTCGCCCGGACCCGGACTTTGGTGCCGGGGCAGGTGATGCCACATACAAAATACAACACGTGTTGCGGGGCCTCGTCGAACGTTTTCATTAGAAAGCAATACTCGATTGGCAGCAGCCCCCCTCGCTAATAAAGTTTGATGCAATTCACATTGCATTTCTGGCCAACGGCAGGCAAACGTTTGCCTGGCCATCAAAATTCAATGCATTCAAAATGAAAAGCCTGTGCCGAACGGTTCAGTTAACTCTTGAAAAATCATAGGACTTTTTGGCTACCTAATTTGATAGATTTATCGGAGTTTTAATATATTTTAGGCACTTTGTATAGGAAAGATTGGTAATCTCAAATTTAAATGATGCAATTCAAATTGTATATGTTTTTTAGTACACACAAAAAAAAATACCACGCCAAGATCAAATCGAAAGGCGCACGACAATTTCTGGTACTTGTACGCATATCATTTTAACCATGCAGTTGTGTACTGATAAAATTAATATTAAATAATGTCTATTTGCCAATTTCTCTCTCGGAGATCCTCTGACTAACATGTGGCTTACATTTCAAGCATATCAAATTGAGATGCCGCATATAAATTCAAATTAATACCAGATAAAATCAAATTTATTATCGTTTCATATCAAGGTCTTTTTGGGGGTAGAATTAAGTCGGATTTAACTTATTATTAACGCTTAATATTTGTTATCTCTTTTAAACATTTTAAATCAAAGACCTTCATTAACTACATTTTTAACTTACGAGGTAGCAGCAGTTCCTATAACAATTCCCATTTTTCACATGCTGAGTGGCTTGACATGAATTTGATTTGGGGAAACTGGCGTCTATGTATGAGAATTCAACGCAACTCAACTCGACACTCCTTCATTTGAATTCGGTTGACAAGCGGACTTTTGCCTCTTTTGGGGCGGGTGAAAACTTTCTGCCGTATTTCTTCTAGTTGCGCAACAAATTAATGTTTCAGGCAACACTTTTTGGCAGTTGTATTTCCCCAGAGAGAAAGGCAAAAGAGGAAACCTCATTTGGCAGCACAGGTGAAACAAGAGCCAAATGGAGAATAGAGAAAGTTGAAAGTGCACCAACGAAATGTATTTGCTGTGGGATTTATTGTTGCTCTCGGTTTGTTTTCATTCCGAAATCCGATCATCAAAATTTCTGAGTTTCGACCAACAATAATTACTTGCCAGCAGCAATTAGCCGATTATTGTCTTAGCAGGCAGTGGCTGTTTTAATTATGTTACCGTTTCTGCTGCATTTTGTGGCCCCATTTGCAATTGTCGCAGATATTGCCGCATTTTTGGCAGGTAATGCCTTTTTTGATGGCCTTAAATTTTTAATTACATATAAGTAGGATCCTTGAATAAAAGGTTACCACCGCTTTGAGTTCAGTTCATGCAGTAAATTAATTCTCTTTGAGGTCGTTTCATTACATTATTCTGGAAAATAATTTATGTAAGCAAGTAATATACCGATTTGTTATGTTTTATAGTCTTTAGTCGAGTGCATTAAATAGATGCAGTGCTTGTCTACTTCATTTTCTCAAGTTTCCCCCGGCGAACACATCATTATACGTATTACACTGGAATCAAGTCCTTAACCAGGGCACTCTTTTATCCCGTTCACCATCTCTCCCTCATTCGGTTCAATTTCCCTTCGGGCGAAGATTTTGCAACTATTAGCGCAGCTTAAATCCTTTCGTGTTCAGCTTTGCTCCCACAAAGCCACCTGTGCAGCACCATTTTGTGGGGTGAATGGAAAATGGGGAAAACTCCCTGCCGTCTTGTTGTTGTTAAGTTATCCGGACTTTATCTTAACCGGCTTTGGTCGAAGGACAGGAACTCCTGACTCCTCGGACTCTGTTTCCGCCGTGCTAATCCCCTTAATGGGCGGCCGGGCATACGGTGAATTTGTAAGCAGTTAATGCCGAAGCAAAGGAAAGTTAAACGGAAGATGAAAATATCACTCATTCGCCCTGTTTTCCACACTGAGTTGCCATTCTTTATTCTTTTTGTGCCAGTTCTTGAGGTAATGTACTCCAAAGAACGGAACTTAAAAAATTAAATATATTCTGCTTAAAAATATGCTAGTCCTTCACAATTTGATAGCCCTTTAACCGCATATACAAATAAGTATTAAGAAATTTTTAAAATACAAGCACTTTTAAACTTTTAAACTGAATTAGAAAATAAAAATAAATTTAAAAAATATTTAATTTTTCGCATTCTTATTTAAATTTTATATTATTTAAAATTAGAGAGGTATTTAGCTTGTATTTAACATTATTTGAGATCAAATAATATTTTAAATAACAATTTAATTTCCTAAAAGTTGTACAAAAATATCACTCATTCGCCCTGTTTTCCACGGTTGTCATTCTTTATTCTCTCTGTGCCAGTTCTTGAGGTAATGTACTCCAAAGAACTGAACCGAAATTTAAAAAAATTAATATATTCTGCGTAAAAATATGTTAATTACATATTTATAAAAATCGTTTACAATTTGAAAGCTTTTGAGACGTATATAACCACACTATATACTTTAAAAAACTTAAGATTTTAAAATGTTTTGCTGCACAACATTTTTTCAAATTAATAAGTATTTAGAAATTTATAAATGAAGTGCATATGCTGATTTGTTTTTACTTTATTGATTTAATCTCCCATTTCTAATATGATGTGCATTTTAAAATACAAGCAATTTAAACGCAAATTAAACTGATATATTTATTTTTTATTTATTTATTTTATTTATTAAAGATGATAGTGAAGTTTACAAAACTAAAACTAACATAAGAGGTTGTAGTGCTAGCTGCGAGGCCTTCGACTACGTGTATTTTAATTGGTGAACTTAATTTAACAATATTTTAAATTTTGATTTTAGAAACTGATATATTTAAATTAAGAATTAGCTAGGAAAAAAAAATATTTTCTTTTTAGAATTAGAATTTGTACTTAAATTCTATTTTTTTTATATGAAATTTTGATAGGTATAATATAAAATTTCGAATAATAATATAATTTTCTTAAAGTTGTACAAAAGTGTGCGAACATTAAAAAGGCAATTTCTACAAGTCCCAAAGGGGGTAGTACAAGTTAATTTTTCTTTATATAAGTTGATTGTTTGGGCGCAGCTGTCGCTGTTTGTATAGCTCTTTCCTGGGGCAAACTGACAAGTTGTCTTCTCCGGTTTGCTTACAGACTACAGCCACGTGAAGGCGCAGCGCATCCTCAACTCGGAACTGGCGGACACCCTGGGCAATCTGCTATCGCGTGCCTGCGCCAAGTCGCTGAATCCCGGCCAAATCTATCCATCAGCCAACGCCGAGCACTTGGCGGATCTTCTCCAGAGCCTGGATGCGGCCAAACGCCTGCAGGATGCGCTTCTGCAGCTGTCAGGTGAGTGGATTGCTAAGGAATGGATTGCAATGGAGCGGAGTGCAGTGCAGTGGAGCGCAAAAAGTGGAGTAGGAGTAGAAGTGGAGCGCTGCTTTGTCATTTTAATATTTAAGCAGCCAGGCTCGAGCTGAAGAGGCGCCATCTCGAGATAGAGATGGTTTATAATCTGCATTTGCGTTTGCATCCGCATCCGCATCTGCCCGAAGCACTTCCGGCCAATCTCCGAGCGGCAAGTGCACTCGAGAGTGTGGCCAAGCCAGCGAGCTTATAGCTTTAAGTGCGCCAAGTGAAGCCATCATTTTGTATATTGTATTTTGTGCACTTGGGGAAAAATTAAATTATGTTGTGTGTCTACAATTAATTTTATTTTTAAATTAAATACTTTTTGCATTAATTTGTTTTGTTTTTTTCAAAGAATAATTAAATATTTGAGTTATAATAAGTATAAGGAAAAATCAGAGAAAAGGTTGTCTTTTTATTGTCAGTAAATGTTTAAGATCAACATTTAAGAAGTTTTATTTTTAATTTTTGGTATTACAAGTTGTATATTATATACAAATAGAGCAAAAGTTTCTTTAAAAAATATTTTTGAAAGACTTTAACTATGTTTAAAAGTTCAAGGCCTTGAAAGTTAGTCAAAAGTAGGTTTTAACCCGAGAAAATTTACAAAATGTTCCGGTTTAAAGCCCACTTTTTGCTTAGCATGAGTACGTGTTTATTAGATTTTTGCAAAATTTATTTTCAAGTGCCTTGAATGTTTCGTATTTTGCAGAACGATGCGCGTCGCATTACGAGTGCAATCACTTCCACTTGGTGGCCGACACAGCGATGGCGGCTCTGCATGCGGCCAACAACTTCTTCGAGAGCTCCAAGCCGTGGCTGCTGAAGGCGGGCGCACCGGAAGGCAACCAGCCCCGTTTGGAGACCATAATCGCCATGACAATGGACGCGTTGCGGCTCTGCGGCATTGTGCTGCAGCCCATAATTCCCCAGCTGGCCACGCGGCTGCTCGATAAGCTGAGCGTCCCGACCGCGCAACGTGGCTGGAATTACTTGGCCGAGAGTTTTGCCACCGCGAGCCCCGCGAATCTCGGCGGGAGCCGTCAATTGGACGGGCCAACCAGTGCGCTGCTCTTCCAGCGGATTCTCGAGGAAAAGTCTGTTAAGGAAAAGGAGGAGGAGCAGAAGCCGCAGCCAGCCAAGCGGAGCAAATCGAAGAAGAAGGAGCGCCGCGAAACAATGTCCTGAAGTGGCCGTAATAAACTGATTCCAAAGCCAAGCCACCGGCGACATTTATTCATTGCGAGGGCTTAATAACACTGGGCTACAATAAAGGTTTTTTTCTGGCAATGGACCTATGTAAAAACTACATTTTACAAAATGAAATTAAATACCATCAATAGTTTTGCACATGTCCTCCTTAAATCGGAAAATATGTTTTTAGAAGTGTGCATATTTGTTTATGCATTTTGTAGAAGAATATAGCGAAGGACTAGCAGCCTGATGTTTTAAAAAATGTTATTTATATGGTAAGTAATTTTATTTATTGGAATTTTTTGGCGAAAACCTTTGTAAACCAGTGCTCGCAATCAAAAACGCAGGGCAAACAACTCGGCTAACTCTGGGCCTCTGTGCTTCCACTCCGCGTCTCATTAAAATCCACTTAATTATGTGCAGGAAGGAAAAAGCAGTGCCGTCAGCAGCATCGCTGTCTCATATTCCTTTGTAATTTATTACGCGTAATTGAAGTCAGCATCAGGTGGCAAGGATGGGGCGTTATTTATGGCCTTCAATTGGCAAACAGGTTGAGGGCAAGCCACCAAGCCACCGAACTTGAGGCCCAGACTTTTATTTGTTAATTTATTTTAATTTCCAGAGGCCAGCCCAAAAAAGCACACCATAAAAAGACCCCACGAGCCGGGTAATCAAAATAAATGGCTATGTGGCTCTCAATTCGAGTGCGAGTGCATATGGGAGTGGAGTGGCCAAGGACCAAGTCAAGTGCAACCATTAGAGTCAATTGCTGGCTGGCCCAGAGGAGCAGACAAAGCTGATTAGATTACTCGCCAGTCAGCCAATGCCAGATCCGCTTGGTGGAAATAGTTTAATTAAGATTCCCCCTCGAAGTCCGCACGAGGCATCAATCAAGTCCCAAGCCCAGAAGTCGAAAATCATTGGCCAAGAGTTTGCAGTTTTCTTTACTGATACTGATTGTTTTTCCGTTTTCCCTGAAGTGTGTTGCAGTCAATGATGGGAAAAACCAAGGTTATTGCACCTGCTCAGGTACTTTTGCTCTGCTCGATTTGCGCATGGTAAATTTCTAAGCATATCGTTTTTACCATACAGTACTGGTAACATTAATATTCAATAATGTCATTTTTCCGATTTGTTTTGGGTGTGTTAGTTTCTATTTTTTTAAACACAATTTTCGTTTTTGAAGCTCTTATAAGTTAGTAAATATTTTATTAATGTTTTGATGTCTACACATATTTTATAATTATATTTATTTTTCCGAGCATAAACTGTTACTGATTTAAAAAACCCAGTACCTTTCCCATCACTGGTCGCTGTTGATTGCACGTAAATTGCAGACATTACCGCCGCCATCAGCTGCAGGTAAACAACAATTTAACTCCATTTTGGCGCAGACCACCGCTTAACCCTCTCCTCTAGCCACTCTGGCCCAGCTTGGCAATTAGGGCGCCAAAATGTGCGGGCTTTTGGGCCCAGTTAACTTGCAATTTGCTGTGCAGGCTGAAGCTGAGGAGATGCTGATGTGGATGCGGATACTGCTGCTGCTGATGCGGATGTACACGTTGATGCAGACACTTTACTGTTGGCCCCCAGAAGCTAGCACATGAAATAGATACCCGACAGCCAGACAGATCGAGCAATTAGTGGAAGGGCTTGCTGCATTGTCCGCTGGAAAATCTGGCAATTGGCCAACTTCTTGGTTGTTATTTGAATTGATTGCGTCGATATTTGTGGTAGCTTTCTACCTTGCCAGCCAATTAGGGAAAGGAATTGGAAATGTTAGAGCTCACAAAGACTGACAATAGTCTTCAAATTCACTATGAAATATAATATTTTAAAAATGTTGAAATATACCAACTGCATAAAATACAAGGTTTAGACATAAATTTATAGATGAAGTAAGTTGAAAATCAAAAGTTGACCTGTAAAATCTATAGATTTGAAGTTGAAAGATATCTACTGAGTAAATCACAAGGTCTATTCATAAATGAGATGGAATAAGTTGTTAAAATCCTGAAAATTTTTTAAAGCTAACATAAAATGATTTTATAGTTTTCCAGCCGCTTTATCAGACAACTTAATACTTAAACTTCTCCAACTTTCTCCTGCCAGGGTGCCTACCCTTCGATCTGCCTTCCATAATTTAATATCCAACCGGGTGAAATTAAATTCATAGTACAAGCAAATTAAGTTGACGTTAATGAGACAGCAGCGGGTTAAGGGAAAAAAGCAGAGCTGCACTGAACGGGGCAGCATAAACAAGCGCATTAACATGCTTGACTTGTAAAAAGTTGTTAAGTTTGCATTTAAAATGAAATTACGCAGACTGCGATGGGAAAGTCAGGTAATAAGGTTAATGATTCACTTTAAATGCTGCTTAAACTCGAACGCAGAAGCAGAAGCAGAACCCAAAGTGCTTGTTGTTCCCGTGGATGTGGATGCTAGTGCTACCCCCTGCTGCACTTTGATTAATTACAAAGTTGCTTTGTCGAGATTGCCACCGTCTGCCGTCTGCTGGCCACAACTCTCCGCTCTGGCAATGCATAATTTAATTTGCCTGCCAGCCACGTGGCGTATGCGCAATATTGTAAACGAATTAGCCCGCGCTCCAACTTGCCACTTGTTGTAAGCTTAAGCACCGTTTTAATGGGGCGGCTCAAAGACAACGAAATTGATTAGCCTTTGGTTGCCCCTGTAGGAGTCCGATAAGATACATTTCCCATATACCACATGCATCTACCATATCAATATAAAAATTTATCCATTGCTTACACTTAAATTCTAGAAATTGATAAAGAAAGAAAATGTTGACAGTAGAACAAGAACATTAAAAATGAGATAAGCGATTACATCTTTAAATTTTTTGATTTTATTTAATTCCAATTGTAGCTCAACTGATAAGCAAATCGTCGGGGTTTTCCAAGAAAGCATATAAATGGTGATAATAAATATCATGTGTGTTATAGAATTAAACTATAGATAACCTATTGTGAGTACCAATAAATTTATTTTGAGTTATATAATCTGACTGCATACAAATATTACATGCAATATAATCAAAAAATTTACTTTCTAATCACCACAATTGGGAAAACAAAAGAACTATTGAATTGTTTAAACTTTAAAGGCTAAATTAAAGCCACAGAAATCAATTGTTAATTGAAATCACTTGCAATATTATTTAGAAACAATGTTAAGTCATTATTTATATTTTTTATAACAAATCACGCAGCATAATTCCGAGTTATTTGCCAAAAAAGCAAACCAGATCAAACAAAACATCAAAGTTGGTTAATTGGATTTTCCGATTTTGCATCTATGGAGGACCCTTTAAGTTTCAAATATGCAAATTCCACAATGGCTTTTATCCGATAAATGCAATAATGATGGCAAATGTGCAAATGCCGCTTTACTAATTCATTAAGCCAACTCAAAAGTGTTTAATGAATCGTTGCCAGGGACGCAGAGCAAAAACAGTTGTTGTAATTCTGCAATTAAGGCAATTAAATGTGGAAATTAAATCGAGCGTATCGGGCATTTAATTAGAGCAGATTTATATGGGTCGAAGTTTGTTAAGTTGTCGCCACTCGGTTACAGATGCGACAGACTAAGCATAGATTTTAGTAACTTCACTGTAATATGTAATTAAATTGCACTAAAAAAGCCTTAATCCGAGTCCTTAATCCTTGGACACAACATGCACCCCGGTGCCAGGCAACTATGCGAGTCGTTATCCCTTTTAATGAATTTTTTGCTAGACCCGCTCGGCCTTCGCTTTTCATTTTGCCGGGCAGCAAAGTTTATTTTCCCTTTAACCCCTACCCCTCCTTTTACGTTTTCCAGCAACCTTTTTGCGCCAAAGTAAATATTTTACTATGCCACTATTTAAAGCATACTTCTGGCGGCTGTCGGCACAGCTGGAAAACCACAGCTGGAAAACCTGCGGCGAGCAGGCGAAGGAAAATGCTGCCGAAGCAACAGCCCGGCAGCCATTTTATTTTTGCAATATTTTCCAGGTCAAAATGTCGTAGAACTTTTATTAACTTCATGCCAAAAACCCTCAGCATGCAACTGTGTGTGTGTTTGCCGTGTCTGTGTTTTTGTATGTGTCTGTGTCTCATGTCCTTGTGTTTGTGTCTAAACATTAAAAGTAGCTTAGTGCTGTCGGTCGTTGGGCGTAAGTGTTTGGGTCTCATGTTGATAACTTATATTGGGGATGTCAACAACCGAATGCGCTTCGAGTGGATTTTGCATCACAGTCAATGACCATGGATCGTTATCCTTGCCAGGACTCTCGAGCGAAGTCGTTCGAATGGTTTTATGACCTGGAAAGAGGCCACTCAAATTGACCAAAGCCACTGAGTTTATTTTAAAGTTTCCCCGGACATGCATATAAAATTCAAATTTCATAGGGGAAATCTTGTAAAAGTTGCTGTAAGTAGAGCCCAGTTGATAAGCAAGACAAATTAATTTGCTGCACTTTTGCATGACAATGCAAGATTTATGAACAACAGCCTCGCACACAAAAGGGCCGGGGGAAAAATGAAAAATGTAATTTCAACGAAGACAAAGGCGACGACAGACAACAGATGAGAGGAGGAAAATTAAATTCACCTTCGAAAAATACTTGTGCTTGGCTGGCTCACAGTTTTTTGTGTCTATCGACTCTGTTCTCGTTTCGGATTTCACCATTTGTATCTGTTGAATCGCTTGAACTTTCGTGAAAAACATTTACAATTTAATAAAAATAAAATAAAAATATTTCTGTGTTTCTGTATCACTTAATTAAAATGTTATAGATTTCAGAGTTGTTTGGTCTTTTCATTGTCTGACTTTTGAGCGCTAGGCCTGATAAGGAGGGCTTCTCAGAAATGTATGAAGTATACTCTTTTAATGGCACAATTTAGACATTTGTATGCACTTTTCATCCGCTTATACTTGTAGAGTAAATGGGTATATTGTATTTGCCGACAAGTATGTAAGTAAAGATTTTGTAAAAGTGTAAATGCAATTTTCTTTTACTTAGTACTACCTCACAAAATGTAGAACACATTTTTTAAATCAGACCACTCATTAAAAAGTTATGAGCAAATAATAAAAATCCGCTAGATGGCGCCACTTCAAGCGTGTGCCTGCTTTGCTGCTTGCCCATTTCCATCTCTCTTCCTCTCATTTATCTGGGTAAAGGGTATTTGATAGTCGAGGCACTCGACTGTAGCATTCTCTCTCGTTTAATCTGCTTTTCAGTGATAATGTCGCTCATACAATGGACAAAAAGCTTCTCCTGCAACCAGTCATTGTTCAGACTTTAAAGGCATCGGTGTTGAAATGTCTATTACTGTGCTGTCTATACTGTTCGTATGCCTGAGCTCTGCTTTGGCTACTACTCCTAAATTACTGGTTCCCCAACACTATTGTGATAACCACTTTAAATACTCAATACTCAATAACGGTTCTTATGTGGGCATTTTCTCGGCCCCTAGGACAGACTCAGCAGTTGCAAATTTAAATTTAAACTGGCAGGCGACATTCGAAATACAAGGAAGACGTGGTGTAAGCGGTTGATGCATTCTACAGTTTACAATTCCTATATATTTTTGACAGATGTTTGTAGGCCCTTTGCAAGCCTATCCAAGCAGGGAGGAAGCCGCCCTAAATATTATGAACGGTGAGCCTCCACAGGTTTGGGTGCAGTTCGTCGACATCACCTCTGAGCTGCCCAAGTTGGTATCTTTAAATCTAAACGGAGTAGAGCTGTGTTCCAGTGCACCATGTAAGTAAATAAGTGGAGATTCAACTGGATCAGTGATCACTATTGTAACTTTTCGCAGACGGTTTACCCAAGACCAGAGTTACAGTGAAGCACCATATGTTCATTACCACAAAACAGAGACGCATTAACCCTACTACGGAGGTGACTCAGCCACTATATCAAGAAAGACCCCAAACTTATGGAAAATATTTGCAAATTTAAATTTTCAGAATCGCAAAAGTGCTGTAAAAAATAAACATAAATACAAAATCTCTTTTTATTTAAATGTTATAGTTAAGGTGTTACGTTATAATCTTGACTCTTATTCGGAAAATAAGTTTCGATTTCATAAAATAAATATAAACGTGAAGTTTAAAGAGTCAAAATCTGCCAAGTGGGCCACCCCTGTTCCGAAGGTCCGATTTTCATCGAACTTTTTTACTTTTCCGGTTCACAACGAAAATATAAGAACTTCATTTGAACGGTTTTGCGAAATTTTGAGTTTTACCGGAGTTATAGGGGTCAAAACATGGCATTTTTGACACTTTTTCGAAAAAGTTGCACTCAGTCAAAAATTCATAACTTCGGAACGGTAAGAGATATCTTTATGATGTTTTCACTAATCGCTCAAGAATTATTATGGCTTTCCATAAAAAAATTAAAAAAAAATTAAAAATTTTTTTTCTTAAAAATAAATCAACATTTTTTTTAGTTTTTATTTTTTTCAGTGTTCTTCACCAGCTATAGAGTTTAAAACCATTTGAAAATGAAGTTTGATTCATTACGAAAAGATCAAAAAAAAAAAAGGGGGGCCCGGACAAAGGTTTTTCGCAATATCGATTTGAAGAAGGGCGCACAGCGGATTCCCATACAAAACGACAAAAAGTGCCTCATTGACAGCTGCAGTCGGCTGACGCTACGCGCGCAACGGCATCTGTTGACCAGCCAATTTTCACGAGCAAGCCGTTTTTGTATGGAAAACCGCTGAGCGCCCTTCTTCAAATCGATATTGCGAAAAACCTTTGTCCGGGCCCCTCTTTTTTTTTTTTTGATCTTTTTCGTAATGAATCAAACTTCATTTTCAAATGGTTTTAAACTCTATAGCTGGTGAAGAACACTGAAAAAAATAAAAACTAAAAAAAAATGTTGATTTATTTTTAAGAAAAAAAATTTTTAATTTTTTTTAAAATTTTTTTATGGAAAGCCATAATAATTCTTGAGCGATTAGTGAAAACATCATAAAGATATCTCTTACCGTTCCGAAGTTATGAATTTTTGACTGAGTGCAACTTTTTCGAAAAAGTGTCAAAAATGCCATGTTTTGACCCCTATAACTCCGGTAAAACTCAAAATTTCGCAAAACCGTTCAAATGAAGTTCTTATATTTTCGTTGTGAACCGGAAAAGTAAAAAAGTTCGATGAAAATCGGACCTTCGGAACAGGGGTGGCCCACTTGGCAGATTTTGACTCAAAAGAAGTACGGAATTCTGATTAAAGATAATATGTTTATCATGTTAAAAAACGGTACTATAAAATTATACAGATATATAATATTTTTACCCGTTACTCGTAGAGTAACGTGCAAAAGTATGTAACAGGGAAAAGAAAGCGTATTCGACCCTATAAAGTATATATATTCTTGATCAGGGTCACTAGCCGAGCCGATTTAGCCATGTCCGTCTGTCCGAATGTCCCTTTGTCTGTCCGTCAGTTTGTCCGTCCGTATGAACGTTGAGATCTCGGAAACTACAAAAGCTAGAAGGTTGAGATCTATCCATCTCCCTCGCACTCCCTTTAGCCGAGTGACGGGTATTAGATAGCCGGGACAACAACCCGACTATAGCGTTTTCTCTTGTTTTTTAGTTTTAAATACAAACGTATGAAAACGTGAGCTGCTACAAGCTTTATTTGAATTGTATTGTTTCATTAAGTGTTGATTATTAATCAAAAAAGAATGACGGTGTTTTTATTATCAGTAAACCACAATCCCAAGAAATTCAGTTTTTGGAATTCGTTTTTAACATATAAAATTAAATTAAAAAAGTGGGTTTTAGCTATCAGTGCTTTTTCCGACTTAGTCACCAGCGGTTCTATTTTGGGTTTTTCTGAGCTCAGCTTAGGCAGTAATAGTGCCTCAAAATAATTATAATTATTTCTTTGATTATGTGGTGCAAGATAATGATTATAAAGAAATTTGTACAGCAGTTAAAAAGAAAATCAGTTTTTGGAATTTGTTTCCAACATATAAAATAAAAAAAAGTGAATTTTAGCTATCAGTGCTTATTCCGACTTTGTCCAGAGCGGTTCTTAAAAATGTCAATCACTTGGTTGCCTTTATTTTGGGTTTTTTTGAGCTCAGCTCGGGCAGTTATAGTGCCTCAAAATAATTGTAATAATTTCGATTATGTGGTGCAAAATAATGAATATAAAGGAATTTTTACAGCACCCTTACGTGCAAAACTGCCTCTCAAATGGAAAGCAACATTTGAAATTAATAGACATGGCGGGGTAAGCAGTTTTTTTGATAAATTTATGTTCTTATAAGACTTTGCATATATTTCCTAGGTCTTTATAAGCCCTTTAATGCCGTATCCCAACAAAGAGGTTTCCGAATACAACATCTTAAATGACCAGCAGGCTCAAACTTTTGTGCAATTTACGAATTTCGGCCACGAGTTGCCAAAACTGACGCACTTGAGTCTCAATGGATGGACGCTATGCTTTAATCCAGGATGTAAGTAGTACTTACTAAGTACATTTATGATATTTTCAAGATTACACTTTAAACTAATCCCTTCTTAATAATATTTTTCTGATTTACCCTAAAGACGGAACTCCTTATACAGCAGTTACTGTGGAATACACAATGCACATATCTCAGAATCAACTAAACCAGAGCCGGAACCGTAACTGGAACCTACCCGTAAACCAAATAAATGCCCAGAACGATGTCAACAATGAAATAGTACACATATAACGAGTTTTGAAACACTAAAATTGGTCTGCCCAAAAATAATTCATAAGAAGTAGTTTTAGATACGACTTTTTAAGAAAATATTTTTTGAAAATATTTATTTTTCTAATTTTAAAAAAAACTTAATTACGGTGAAAAATTATTAATGAATTCGTATGCTGGGCATTTACTTAAATTTCGCCATAAGAAGTTGTTATTCAATTTAAAAATGTAAGAGTGTGTTTTTTCAAATGGCTGAATTTTTGTTATTTTTAGGAAATAAATTAATATAAGACGAAATCCCACTTCACAAACCAGGTTTTCCTTAGTTTCAAAAGGCTTTTTAATTAGGCTAAAACTTGTTTGTACATTTTATTTCTTTTTGAATCAAATGCTTAAAATACCAATTGTTAAAAAAAAAACACTTTTAAGAGCTTTACAAAATTTGCCTAAAATGGGAACACGTCTGGATCCTGTTTTGAGTATTTTCTTGACGTCGCATGCGAATATTTGACAGCAAGTTAAATGGCGTCGCAGTGAAAGTTTTTCCGTTGCTGCCGGAGCGTTGCTAATTTTGCCTGCCCCCAATAAGCGTGGTTCTCAACTGGAAAAGGAGGCCAAGTGATGGAGGGCATCCTTGAAAGAGTAAGCCCCTTGTATTTTTCACAGCAGGATTGCGATGGATAGCCCAAGGCTCCTTCTCCTTTCTCCTCCTTCGCTCCTCCTTTTCCAGCACCTCTGCATCTCGGGCACCCAATAAACATGCATATTAATGGCCGTGAGTCCGGTGCCGGTGAACTCGCAGTCCGTGCGCCCATTTGCCTTGCAAAGCGATCAAATGAATCAACGATACTTGCAATTTCCGTGTCGGCTCTTTATGCGAGTGCATCTCGGAATGCTGGAAATGAATCTGGACCTGAAGCTGCAACTGGAACTGGTGCTGAATGACGATGACAACGGCAGCGGATGCAGCAGCTTACCCAGAAAGCACTCGAGGAGACGAGGGGCGGAATAAATGGAGCACTCGAAAGGAGTCTATAAGATGTCGCCTCAAATAACTGAAGTTTCGGAAGATGTCATGAATTTATGGCTGTTGAAGCAGGGCAGCAAAGTTCCAGAGTTTTGTAAAGTTAAAATAAATTACCTTGGGTCAAAAAAGGACTGCAACTTATTGTCCAAAGAAAACCTTGAAAATAAATCTATTATTATAAATAAGAAACCAATTTGTAATTCCGTTCACATCCAATAAATCAAAAATTTTTAATAAGAGAATATTTTTATGGCAAAGAAAAAATGCCCTTCAACTTATTGTCCTAAGAAAACCTGGAAGATAAATCTATTATTAAAAAAAAATATATTTTTTTAGTTTGCTTTAAATATAATAAATCGAAATTATTTTATCTGATGGTGATTTTTATAGAAGTTCGACTGTATTTTGCTTACAGCTTTTCAGCTCTGTGAGGACTGAGGACTCTGCGACTTCAGGATGTGTCTTAATCCTTGAGAGCACTGCACTGAATCGGTGAAATCATTATCAAGGCTGATGGCCTTCCCATGCAGCTGCCACTGCCGCTAATGAAAGCCGCTCAGTGATTCCGCCGAAGAAGCCAATTAAAAATGGAACAAACGAAGATGAGGATTACATTTCTGTGACAATAAATCCACTTGGCTTATTTGCTATATGATGGAGCCGAAAAAAGTATCTGAAGTGGGTCAGAAGAGGCAGTTCGAATAAAGGAATTTCGCCCGCCTGCCAACATGTTGCTCCCGCTGAGCGGCTTTAAATGTTTTTATGTTTCGTTCGTTTGTTTTTGTTTATTCGTGATTTTCCTTTTTTTCGCCGGCCCCGGCAGGAAATAAAATAAAAGAAGCAACAGCCAGGCATTTCGTCGGGTGAAACAGCAACAAAGGGCAGATAAAATAGGACGACTAAATAAAAATAAAATCAAAATACGTGTACGGTGGGCGTTGCGAGCATAAATCTCATCAATCAAATGGAATTGTGCGCATAAAGTTATCGGCTCAACTTACAGGAGATAACTCAACCCGAACCCTCTGCCGTTCCCTTCTTTTCCTTGACTTTCTCGTCCGCTGGGGCAATTTGGGTTTATTGTTTCAATCTGTTAAGGCAAGGAGCAAGCCATAGCTGAAGATGGCCCCACTTTTAGAGTACACTTGCAGAAAATAAATCTATCATTTAAATTGTGAAAAAATGTGTAATTCCATTCTGAGAAATGCCAAGCCGAACTTGAACAATAACGTATTCTTATTTTTTAAATGGCTTGACCTTTGTTAAAGGTGT